AATTAAAAAAAATTAGAATTCACAGGGAACGACTGGTGAGGAGGTTAAGATCAAGGTAGAATAAGAGATTGGACAAACGTTTTCTGTATACAAAGAGAGTTCGGGGTTATATTGATGAACTGCCAACGCCTCCGACATACACAAATGACGAAACCTAATTCCCTCATTGTACCGTTTGACCAGACTTTGTAGATTATGCTGAAAGATGACTATGATGGAGCTGCGTGACTTGAGTTCACCAAGTGCTCGAGAATTGAGCTGGTAATTGTCCTGTATTGTCCTTCTGCTAATTATACCAGATAATGTTCAGAGATGCATTTGAAAAGTGTGTGCTTTGTGAAGCCAATATGACTAGCTCACCCCGTATTACTCAATAATGGACTACTATACATTTTTGGTAAATATAAATACGATTGTACAGCCAGCCTGTGAAGATGATTTCATCGATAAAGAAAATTTTCTTCTCTGAATTGTCATTTATTCTCTGCATATTTGTTAGGCAGTAGATTATTGATTGGTTCGTTGCCTGAGAGAGTTCCTTATCCTTTCTGGCTGGCCTGGCATCTAGTCTTCAGCATCAAGAGGACTAAATTGGACTGAATTCCACTGATCAGTTGTGCGATATGGTATTTTCATTTCTTCTGTGTCCCGTGTGGTACACAGGGCTTCAAGCCTCAAACTTAGAAGATTCCGGGCGGGGGGGGGGTTACTAGCTTCACGCTCAACTCTCTATCTCTATCGAGCTCACCACGAAGAAAGCGAGGGCTTCTAGGAGTGTGTATCAGCTGGGAACTAAGTCCAGACTACGCACGTGGTTGGTGAGAGTTGTAGCATGGGGTAACTGAGACAATATCACTGCATTCTTTAATGCAGTATGATTTTTTATCAAGTTTTTTTGTGGAATCATTCAGGTGAAAGTTCTCAAATTGGATTGGATTTTATGCTTGCTGTAACTCAACAGTAGGGTTTTATGTGGCTGACAAGAGTACAGACAGAGTACGGACAACAACTTAGTTGGTTCCAGTGTGAATTTCGTCAACAACCTGCATTAGTCACCATTGGGAAACTTTTTTTGAAACCCTCTATTGAGCAAATTTACAGGATTATTGAATTCTAACCCAGTGACTGAACAATGCACACTCACCATGCAACAACTTGTAATTCATAGATTCCATCGATGGTAGGATTGTGAGGCAGCAATATACAAAACTGCCACAAAATGGAGCTAAACGGCTACCCAGTTCTCCCTGGTCTTCATTGATCTCCTAACTACTGATACCATCAGGTGAAAACTACGGCGACTTCTTCTTACTTTCGCTTTAATGTTTAAAGGGAATCCACATCTGAAATGAAGAACGCATCTAATATTCTTGTTCTTGATGCAAAGCTATCAAGCAGGTGGAGTGATGGGAGGTTCTTGAGGCGATTACTTTATACTAATATGTCATGAAACGGTCAAGTGACAAAAATATTATTAAAAACCAACCAATCGGATAATAATTTCCCTACCAATAGCATATACTACTTATTTTGTGGAAATTCGCTTTTCAGTAGCATGTTGCTTATCAAAATTTTGTTTATTACGGCTAAACGTGGACATCTTGGGTTTTTCTCACTGTTCAACCTAGGGTTGGATTTATGGCTGTTACTGTAGAGAGATACTTTCGAACTGTAATCTGTTGATATTATTGATTCCATGCTTTAACCCTGCAGAGTAGCCTAAAGATTTATCAGATGTCAAGTGACTGACAACATGGAAACTCAACAAATTGTTTGAAGTGATGTGTCAGGAGTAAGACAAGCCTGCTGCCTACTGTCACCGAGGTTATTTTTGGTTGTAGTGAAATGAATCATTTCGAAGACCATGGGAAGTGGGAAGACAGGCAGATCCACAGGTGAAGACTCACAACAAGTTGACAGAAGATGCTTGTTCTGAAGCCGGGAATTTAATTGAACATGGAAGGGATGAAGCAATGAACAGACCTAACCATCAACGACAGAAATCCAAAAGTAGCTAGCTCTTTTACTTACCTGACAGTGTCGTTTCAACTACAGGCAACCTCGGCGGCCTGTTCGAATTTTTGGGCCTGCTACCAAAATATCTACATTTTGCATCCAGTCCTCTGTTTACCAACATTTATTTATCACCTAAACATGAATTCTAACAGAATCATTTACTCTCGTAACTTTATTAATCATCTACGACCAAATGACTTTCATATTCCAAAGAAACCAAGAAGGAAACATCGTAGTGGTTGGCAGAGAGCTCTCAAACGTACACCAATACACTTAACTACGGTCCCCGTCATAATGAACACAAACTGTCGCTCTCTGCCAAACAAGATAATGTACCTACAATCCTTGATGTCAACTGATACGTATCATAACATCGCCATAATCACATTACAAGAAACGTGGTTGCATGAACTGTATGATGACAACCTTATCTCACTAAAGGACTTTATTTTATTTCGTCAAGACCGTCAATGTTGTAATAAGAAAAATGGTGGTGGCGTTGCAACTTTTATTCACTCCAAATGGTCTGTCTCAAATAACGTCTGCTTCACCTTCTCAAATGACTTCATTGACTGTATTACTGTCAAATGTCGCCCCAAACATCTCCCCAAATATAAACAAAACTATATTACAAACATGTACATTTCTCCTAGTTGCTCTCCATCTGATCTATCTAATTTTGCTGATGAATTCACCATGTTTGCTGCTGCCAACTTCGACAACTCTCTATCCGTTATTACTGGAGACTTCAACACCTCAGATTGCTCCTTTCTTGAAGCTCTTGGTCACACAAACATAGTCAAATTTCCCACTCGACTTGACAAAACACTCGATCTAGTTTTTACTAATGACGAAGGAGTATATGAAACACGTAGACGTTCACCGATACATAACTCCGATCACTGCATTGTCCGCGTTTTGCCAAAAATATACAGCAAAACACATATTAAAATCTTCTCACACCTGTCTACGAAGCACAACAAAGAAGCTACACATCTGACAACCTTCTCAATCTAAGATGCATGTTAAAAGATACTAACTGGGATCTATTCTATGAAAGTACATTAGATGACTCAATCACCAATATAATGGATTATCTCAAGTTCTGCCTCGACATATGCTGTCCCAAACAAACACTGTTCAAACGCCTCGACCGCTTCTCGTCTCCCATCTCAAACAACTTCGCAGGCAAAAAGAAATGTTATATAAATGCAAAGACAAGTTAGGACTTAAAAAGATTAATGCTCAAATCAAATCTGAAATCAAAAATCTTAATGCTATCTATAACCAAACACTTTTATCATGCAAATCTCCTAACAGCATGTGGAAACTTTTCAATGAAATTACTGGCAAAAGTAAGCGATGTAATGTTTTTCCCTCTTGTGATGTTAATGCTCTTAATCTGTCTTTTTTACGCTCTCCTTCTACTATAACCACTTCTAACGTTACCAATCTTGTAGCTGATAACTTCCAGGACTTCAATACTCTCGATGTTTTGAAATGTCTTAAAACTCTTAAGCCCTCACATAGTCTTGGCCCTGATGGCATACCTGCATATGTTCTAAAACAATGTGCAGATGCTTTATGTTCTCCTCTAACTAATATCCTAAATGCTTCTTTCTCCGAAAACGTTGTACCTGTTCCATGGAAAGACATTAAAATAGTCCCTGTCCCTAAACCTGGAAATAGCAAGAACGTAAAGTTCAGACCCATTGCTATCACTTCCCCGTTTCTAAAGCGTTAGGCGGGAAACCTTTAACTTATTAAATAGTCAGTAGAACAAGGGAATCTCGTCTTTGCAACTCACATCATTTACAGGTACAACGCTTTCTCTCTACCTTTTTCTTTTTTTTCCCTTCTCTATTTATTTTTGTTATGTGCTGTTTTGTTTCTCTCTTCCTTACAAACTCTACTTAAAACATTCTTGTTCGTTCTTTCACACTCTGTATACCTCGACCATTTTTGCTATTGCTTACGCCAGTAAATATCCTAGTAGTATCTACTTATCTAACACCTTCAAACACTCTGTTTAAATTTTGGCTTTGCTACCGACATGCTAATATGTTGTTGTCAAAACTGACTGAGATAACCTTAATCTATGTAGAACTATATTTATTATTAATGTACTAACTGGATGCAATACTCTAATAAAATGCTGAGAATTCCATTCTGTATCACAAATACTGATTTGGAATAAAGCTTACCTTATCTTATCTTATCTTATCTAGAATAAGGATGTCCAAAACCAGCTATGATTGGGAAAGAAAAGTGGACGGTCATTAATTTTTTTATTTTTTTTTTATTTTTTTGATTTACAGCTTGATTCCACACTGTATTTTTGGTACAAGTATGGAATTTTCAGCATGGATATCGGTAGCCCAAATTTTGCAGGCCGACCATAGATATCAGGAGTGCGCCGGCGTGGGCTCGAACCCCGGACCATGTGGATGGTCGGCGAGAGTCCTAACCACTATGCCACCGATGCACGTACGAAAGTCTGCAACACTCATTGAAAGGAACAAGATTCCGATTTTCAACACTAATTTAAAATCAGTCATCGTTTCTATATATGACAAGTTTGCGACCAAAAGGATTTTTCATACATTTATTCCTCCTTAATGAATTTGAATAAAGCAAGAACAACTGGGGTTTGTACAGAATAAGGTGATGGTACCATCTTTGTTTATTTCGTTGGTTTCTCACCACCTCAGCTGCTCACAGGCCAAAATCATTCATTCTTTAGTTTATCTACAGAAACAATTTTAACATACTTACACAATGAGAGTTCATTTTTAAACAAAAATCAATCGATCAATCAATATATGTATACAATAATAATATATATTCAAAAGAATGGATACTGAACAAAGAGTACTCTTTTCGATAACCTACTCTTCATCAGGCTCTACAGTTATATCTACACATTATAGTGAATGAATGAATTAGTGTTATGAACAACATTAATTTTGTTTAAATAACATCGAATCAATAATAATGATAGATTACAGTCCAATAGCATCAACATAACAATAAACGCTGAATATCAGAAGTCCTGAATGCAATCAAGATGCTTAAAGCTGGGAAAACACCGGGACCAGATGGAATCCCAGCAGAGGCTTTGAAAATAGACCCAGAGACAACAGCGGACTTGATGACACCACTGCTGGAGAAGGTGTGGAAAGAGGGCAAAGTACCCGAGGACTGGAAGAACAGTTACTTATTCAAACTTCCAAAGAAAGGAGACTTAAGTCAATGTAAAAACTGGCGTGGAATTATGCTTCTGTCCATTCCAAGCAAGATACTAAGTCGCATCATCCTGGAGAGAATCAAACAAGCCCTAGATGAAAAACTTCGTCCGGAACAGGCTGGATTCAGGAGAAACAAATCATGTATTGATCAAATCGCCACTCTACGGATCATCATTGAACAAAGCTTGGAATGGCAGTCACCTCTCCACCTCACTCAACTTCATCGACTTTGAAAAGGCCTTCGACAGCGTCGATCGAGAGGTCATTTGGAAACTACTTCGCTACTACGGGGTCCCATCGACAATTATACATCTCATCCAACAGTTATACGACAATGCTGCATGCCAAGTAATCCACAACGGGAAACTTACGGAAGCCTTCGAAGTGAGGACGGGAGTGAGGCAAGGCTGTCTACTATCACCAATGATCTTCCTGATTGCAATTGATTGGATAATGAGACAGACAACGGCAACCAACGAGGGAACAGGCATAAAATGGACTGACACAAAAGACTTGGAGGATCTGGATTTCGCCGATGATATATGTCTGATTTCCCATAAACTGGAAGATATGCAAGTGAAAAGTAACAAGTTGGCAGAAGAAGCATCAAAGATAGGACTTCACGTGAACATAGATAAAACAGAGATAATGAAGATTCCTAGCCAACATCAACATCAACAACACCAACAGACCACAATAAGCATAAATGGGAAGAACCTGAAAGAAACAACCTCCTTCACCTACCTGGGAAGCATCGTCTCAACTACAGGCGGAACTGACGAAGACATCAAAGCCAGAATCGGAAAAGCAAGACAAGCTTTCATTACTCTCAAATCTGTGTGGAGGTCAACAGCACTCAGCATCAAAATGAGTATAAGATCCGGATTTTCAACTCCAATGTGAAGTCAGTGCTACTATACGGATCAGAGACTTGGTCAGTGCGTCATAAAGAGCATCTCAAACAAACTTCAAACCTTCATTAACAACTGTCTCCGCTCAATACTCAAGATCAGATGGCCAGAAAAGATCAGCAACAGGGATCTCTGGGAGCGAACCAATCAGGAACCGATTGTGAAACAAATAGGCAGAAAGAAGTGGAGATGGATTGGCCATACGCTGAGGAAACCATCAAGTGACATCACTAGATAAACCATTGCTCGAATGGAAGCCGAAATGAAAGCGGCGAGTTGGTCGTCCAAGGGTGACTTGGAGGAGGTCATGCGAGGAGGAGATGAAAGCATGTGGACAGACCTGGAGCAGGGTGAAAAAGTTGTCAGAAAACCGAAGTCAATGGAGGTGCGCAGCTGAAGCCCTATGTTCCTCTAGGAACTAAAGGATACAATAATAATAATAATCAGAAAAATTAGGGAAGATAATATTACAAATTCATGAGTTTATAGTCTCGACTGAAGGCTGGCCAGGGCAGTAGAAGTGGCTGCCTGGACCTGGTTCATTTGCACACAAAAAGCACTGGTTGTTTCACACGAATCACGATAGCCTGTGCTGTTTAGAGCATGCGGTACTTCGATGTTTTTGGCAATTTATTTGGTACCCGGTAGATGATAGAGAAGGATTCTTCTACCCTGGCTGGCTTTGTGGCCGGTCGCTTTGGATCAGGTGGTCTAATATCGAACTATTGATGATGGTATACAATTGGTGGATGGTGGCTAGCAGTATACAAATCAAATCCCCAGGCACCGTCGAAGCATCTGCACAAGAAGCCGACATGTCAACCTGAGACCGAGCACTTCGGTCCAATCAGTCGACGGGAAAATCAAAACTTCAATTCAATTATTGATGATGGTCTTTACTGAACCTCTATTTAGCCATACTGGGAGATAAACACCTTATCCCAAACCATAATGATCATACACAGTGGAAACTCTTGGCATTACATATTCAAATGAAAGGGAGAATGAAAACATCCATTTACCAGTCATGGCAAGGGAAGACTGATAACAGTTTCTTTCTCAACATATAAATCGGGTATTTTGATTGGACAGTCTTACAGGAGGGCAACCGCGAGTCCGAATAGTTGGTTCAATGGTAATGTCTCTGACTGTAGTACTGACACTGGGTGACGCAGGTTCAAATCTCAGAAAGGGCATGAGTTCCTTCGAGGTTGCAGATACGCATTGCTGACTGACTGATGAGTGCCAACTAGTACGAAACCTAGGTGGTGTTCAAGACTTCCTGCCGACTGCCTCCAACTATCTAATATCATCAAATCAATGTGCACCGTGATCGTGAGTTACCCAGAACGGTGACCACATTGTACACCTAACTGACAGAATTCAGTCTGCACCAAATAAAGGACTATACACATCACACTAGTTACTGGTGTCCAATCACAATCCACTCGCATTGGTGGTTCAGCGAACAGAACACTCGTTGAACACCCATTTGGTCTAGGGTTCACTGCCCGGCCGACGCACTCCTGAACTTCACTAAGCCCGTGATATGGTCAGCAAAATCACTGCTACTAAAACCACTACCCTGAACCCTATATGTTACAATAGGAGAAACATAGGAGAATAAAATAAATAACAATTTCTTCATCATTACCATTAACTACTTATTTCATAGAAACTGACTTATCAGTAGTATAGATACCATAATAAATGTTTGGTTAATAATATAAATATAATAGCATCATAACTTATTCGATCGTGCACTCTACATGTAACAGTTTTACAAACCATATGTTTAAAAATATAACACATATGACCTGAATATATTCTTTTCAGTTTATCTGATATATTCAGTTTAATTTCATATACATATATATATTTATATAGATTACCATTTGCAGAGGCTTTTGAATTGTAATCTATCGGTCTGGATTATTTGATGTTATTTAATAAACATTAGTGGTGTCAAGGCTAATAATTTCATCATGAGCTGATATCAGTTAGAGAACCATTGAAATACCACCACTGGAGTACTGCACACCTGTTTCGTCAGCCGAGTTTGGGACTCTTCAGCAGTTTATTTTTATTCTTTCACGTTTCCCAGTGGAACATAGGGGGCTTCAAGCTAGATGCTTGAAGTTTCTGTAGCAGTGGTGTTTATCTTTATAGGATGGGGTTGCTAGCCACCAGCCTCATGCCCAACCTTTCCTCTTTACCAGATTTACTACTGGCTTAGCGAGGTAAAAAACTAATACTTGAATATCAATGAGACGCTCATTGACGAGTGGCCCTATTCAGGTGGGTGGTTAGTTACCTGGGGTTTTATTGGAAGTCGCGACCAGTAGATTATAATAAGTTGAAGATGAGGACAGTAACTCATGGAAGAAGACACTGCGAAATGGTCGCGCCATGTCATGAATTGTCAGAAGTCAGAATTCATGCAGTGGCCATTGGATCGGGTCCCACTCGCTAAATGGCCTACGGGTTCACTAGCCTTGTAACCAGGAGGTTCTGGGTTCGAACCTCGCGATATGGGTGCGTACAGAGGTTTGGACGCTCGCCGACCGTGCACATGGTCCGGGGTTCGATCCCCGGCCACTGGACGTACTCATTTACCTCGCTAAGCCAGAAATAATGCTGGTAAAGAGGAAAGGTTGGGCATGAGGCTGGCTAACAACCCCATCCTGTAAAGATAAAAACCACTGCTACAGAAACTTCAAGCATCTAGCCTGAAGTCCTATGTTTCACTGGAAAACGTGAAAGAATAAAAATAAACTGCTGAAGAGTCCAAAACCTGGCTGACGAAACAGGTGTGCAGTACTCCAGTGGTGGTTTTTCAATGGTTCTCTAACTGATATCAGCTCATGATGAAATCCTCCAACCAATCGAACGAAATCCCTACAAGAACCAACAGTTGAAAATATCAATAATTCTTTAATTATTATGGATATTTATAAAACTGTAGAGTCTGATGAAGAGGAAGTCATTGAGAAGAATATTCTTTATTCAATAATCAATCCGTATAATTTACTTATAGAAGAAGAAGAATTGAAGTGACAGAATTGTAATCTGACAAATAAATTCTTCAGATTCATATTCCATAATTAGAAATTTATTTGTTTTTATAGTTTTACAATAGTGCCAGTGAAGGTGAATTAGAATTAAATCAGAAGGTGTATTGGATGGGGTACAAGTACAAGATTGAATATCAGAACTAACTGGATATATTAAATTAGAACCTTTTTATTGATTTCGTCACGAACCAACATCATTGAAAGAGATCTTTGAAGTCTAGGAAGCATTGAACAGTTAACTGTTTCGTCCTTGTTTGTGACTCTTCAACAGTGCACTACCACAATGTCACTAAATATCGTATCCGGAACGTTTTTGTTTGGAGGTCAGGTTTGTTGGACATTCAATAAAATTTGGGTGGGAATTTAGTAACCTGAGTATCCTAACTTCAGTCACTTCGTGTCCTCTTTAATGGGCATCCACTTCACCTTGATATATTGGACCCTAGTGACAGTCTGAAGGACCTGCGTGTAGTCCCTGGTGTGATTGTATTTCCACACGGATGAAAAATCTTAATCTAGGATGAAACAAATGTCCGGTGCTTCTTAGTTTAGAATGATTTGTAAAATTGATTTTGGTCTGTGACAAAATCTACAATGAAATTAACTGACAATGAGTATTCTGCGTTAAATGTGTATCACATAATACACTTTCTGATGAAAAATTTCTGTAGGCCTTTATTGATTCTATTTGTATGATGAAAATTAACGAATCGATTGGTTACAGGAATTTCATGATAAGTTGATATCGGTCAGACAACAATTGGAAAACCAGTAGGGAGCACTGGATGGTTATTTCATCCTGGTTTGGAAGCTCTTCGGAAGTACACACATACCGCAGAGGTTCGAACCCAGGGCCTCTCGGTCAGAAGGGGAGCTAACTCATAGACCATTAAGCCAATGGGACCCTATCCAATGGCCACTGCATGAATACCAACTTCTGACAATTCATGATAAGGCGCGACCACTAACCAGTGTCATAGCTGGCAAGAATTTGTCCTCACACTTAACCTACTGTACCCCATTGTGGTGACGAATTCTCACTAGAACCCAGGTAATTACCTACCGGAATAGGGTCAGTCGCTAGTGAGCATCAGATTAATATTCAAGTTTTGGTCTGCAGGTCTTAACCGTCTGCAAGGTCGCCTTGTAACCAGAGAGTCCTGTATTCAGATCCTGACACGGGGTGCGTACTGATGAAGCAGCTCTTCAGCACTCTCTAGTTGTTTTCCAATGGTTCTTCAACTAATATCCTGTAACCAATCAGATCGAATCCCTGCCAACCAATCCTTGGATATTGGATTGATTATTGCAGACCCTCGAGAAGAAGAATTCACTAAATTGACAATAGTCCACTTTTGTTAACTTTTATATTGTTGTCAAACTTCAAAACGAGATTTAAATATCATAGGCTTTAGCAATCATTACACCAGTATATATAAATATATAAATTTTAAAAAATTTTATTTTATTTATGTCAATTTCATAAACAAACCTCTTCTTTTCTTTATCTTTCCCTTGGGCTTTAATCATTCTTTGTATTTATATAATATGTTCTATATCATGTGTGTTGATTTGTTCCAAGGTCATTTGGGCAGATCAATAGGCCTTAAATGTTATATATATATATATGTACATATATACATGGGTATCGATCTGATTCTAGGTCAGTCGGGTAGATCGATAAAATTTCAAATTACGCATATATATATATATATA